AAACATTTTGTCAATTACCAAATGCGTTTGTAGTTTATGTTTTTCTAAAAATAAACAAAAACCATTTTATAAAATTTTTGTAAATATAAACTGAAAACGTAAACGTTACCAAACACACCCCAAGCGTTTGTCTCCTAAATTCAACTCACTTAGGAAGAGTTGAACTTATGACTGTAGTTAAAGATTAAGGCCTCATTTGGAGACTAAGTATTTTAGCTAAAAAAATTAAAAAATCACTATAAATTGTCACACAACTCTCTGTATTTTTCTGCACATAATTTTATAAAAAAGCTAAAAAATTATTAAAATTTTCCCAAACGAAGCCTACAAATCAACAAAGTCTAGATGTGAACAAGACCTTGAGTGTGAAACTAATGGAGTGTCTTTATAGAAGGACTAGAAAGACTTTGAAAAGTATGGATGATAATTTGAACCCGGCCCGACGGGCACCCGATCTCTCTACCTCGATTAGCACGGGTTTTTTCTAAAAATTACCCCCCATAGGGCTGGGGATGGTATTGAAAATTAAATCCCCGGCGGTTTTCGAGCTGGAGACGGGGATAGGTTCCCCTGGCCTCAGCCTTGTCCCTTTCCCACCCCGAATTATCCTCGAATAATTCTTCGAATATTCTCTAAATATTCCCCATATATATATATATATATATATTTGAGTTTGCCTCTCTCTCACTCATATTCATTTCTCTCAGCCTCTCTCTCTCTCTCTCTCTTTCTTTTTCTGAGCAGCTACTCCTCATCACAGCATCAGCGACGATCTCCCTCCTCTCATCACTATCGATCACCGTCGTCCCTTCATCGTCATTGTCCATCCTCCCCATCGCCGCTATCCTTCCTCACCATCGCCGTCATCCCTCCATCGGCGTTGTCCCTCCTCTCCATCACCGATATCCCTCCTCCCATTATCGTCAGAGTTTAGTCGCTCCTTTCCATCGCCGCTAATCGTCGTCGTTTCTCTCTTCCTAAATGTGTTAGGTTTTTTATTTTTTATTTTTACATTTGAGCTCAAGATATGTTCAATCTGTTGAATATATATGTTAAATCTAGAGTATGGGTGTGTTGTTGTTGTTGTTGATGATGATGATGATGAACAGATATGATTGTTGTTGCTCTTGATGAATATATATGCTCAGATTTGTTGTTGAAATATATGTTGTTGTTGTTGTTGTTGTTGTTGTTGTTGTTGTTGTGGATTGTTTTTTTCAATTTTATTTTTATTTTGGGCAGAGAATTTTTAGAGTCGGAAAAACTCAATCCCCGTTAGGGAGCAAAGGCGGGAGTGGTGATAGACTTTCCGTCAAGAATCAGGACCGAAAATGAGAAAATTTCTTCCATTAGAAATTGGAGTCAGTTGCCATTCCTATTGAAAGGCCATACTAATCAACGAAGTGTGGATGTGAACAACTAATGGATTGTCTTTATAGAAGGACTAGGAGGACTTTGAAAAGTCATACTAATCAACAGTGTAGATGTGAACAACTTATGGAGGGTCCACTAGAAGGACTTTGAAAAGTCATACTAGTCGACAAAGTCTAGATGTGAACAAGACTAGTGTGAAACTAATGGAGTGTCCTTACAGAAGGACCAGAAGAACTTTGATAATATCTAAGAATGCAATGATCTGAGGGAGGTAGAAATCATTGTATTTCACACTCACCTCTCATATTCAATCCATTTAAATACATAATTAAGTACGACTTGCATTTTTATTTTAAAAATATAATTTTAAAGATGTTTATTTTAATTTTTTAGAAAAATGCTCATATTTAATTGTACTGGTTAGGTACACCTGAGCTACACGATGTGATTGCCATGCCGGTTGTGGGCCACAACTTTGGGAATTTTACGGCTAGTTTAGCAATATTTTCGGATTAGTTGCACTTTTTATTTTTATAATTTGATTTAAATTTAATTTTAATATCTTTTGTTTTAATTTGTTCCTTACATTTTAAGTATATTTTTAATTTGATTTTTCTATTTAAATTGAAAGCTAAAATTAATAATTTTGATATACTTATCAATTTTATAAGATGTATACATAGAAAAAATTAATAAAAATTTGGACAAAAAGATCAAATTAAAATTAGACTTAAAGTGTGGAGGCCAAATTGTTCAAATTAAAATAAAGCGGACTTACGTCTAGGTCATAATAGGTACACACATTATCCAATAAGTGATGTGAGAATTAATAACATTTTTTCATCAAACACTATTAAAAAAAATTCACTAATTATTAATTTTCAACAACAATTTAAAAATTGTCATAAAAATGTCACTAATTATAAGTTTTAGCAACAATTTAAAAAAATATCATAAAAAGAAGTTACTAATTTTCAGTTTTCAGCAACAGTTTAAAATTTTCGTTACAAAAAAGTCAATAATTGTAAATTTTAGCGACAATTTATAAAAATTAAGACAAAAAAAGTCACCAAATTGTCAATTCTTAGCGACATATACAAAAAATCGTCACAAAAAATTATTGTTAGTGACAATTTTACAAGAACTTATTTTTAATAGGACTTGATGGGAATTAAATCCAATTATTAAGACTTATTGATAGTTTATCCTTAAAAAATATAATAATAGTAATTAAAGTGAAATTTGACTTAAACTATAAAGGTGAAAAATATAATTAACCCATGATTTTTTAAGAATAAATAAATTACATTTTTAATTCTTCTAGTTTGATTTAAATTTTATTTTGGTCTAAATTATTTAAATTTGAATAATTTGATCATTACCCTTTCAATCTAGTTTCAATTTGGTTTTTTTCAAGTTGAAGGTTAAAATTTATAATTTTAAGACATTTGTCAATCTTTTAAAGTGTATACTTAGAAAAAATTGAAGGACATTTGAATGGAAGGCCCAAATTGAAGTTAGAGTTAAAGTGCAATGATCAAATTATTTAAATTAAAATAATAAAAACTCAAGTAAAATTTGAGTAAAAAACCTTAATTTATTCATTTACTATTATTATTTTTTAATAAGGTGATCTTGCCTCCAATCTTCGTAGAGGATTAGATACTTTAATTTTGACTTTTAAGCCATCATAAGTCGTGTTTATATGATTCAAATCGTTTAAATTTTTAGTATTTATTGTGGATTATTATTGAAAAACATCATATTAATTTAATAAGTGTAGTCACATATTTTTAATGCATTTCTTTTCAAAAAAAAGAAGAAAGAAAAAAGATTGCAAGGGTAATTTTTTTTTTAAAAAAAAACAATGTAAAATTATATGGCTTTTTTCTAAGATAATTCACACACAAATACATCAAAGATAACTAGTTCGAATCATTAAAATGATACTCATAACGGGCCTAGAAGCTCAGCCGACATATTTTTTAATATATATTTTTAAATCTAAAAAAATTGATGTTTTTGGTAAATGTTAATAAATTTTTTTTTTTCAATTGAAACGAAAACAAATAATTTTTAATTTTATTTTTTGTAAAAAAAAAAAATTGGCTCCAAAAAATTACTTAGTCATATTGAAAATATATTATGAATCATATAAGTAACATTAATGACAATTATGAATGTTCACTTAAATAATAAAAATAATGTAGGAGGTAAAAACTGAGCTAAAACCGAACGCTAGTTGTTCAGAGTCCGAGCAGGACTAGGAATCGGTTGTATAAACCAAATAGCGACGGGACTAGTTAGAACAGTCTGAGTAAGACCCAGTCCAACTGAGCAGAATCAATAAGATAACATCACAAACTGGACAGGTAGGAGAGCAAGGACACGAGGAAAAGAGACT